AGCACGGAAATGCAGAGGCCTGTGAGCTTCTGCAAGAGTCTGCTGGGCGCCGAAGCTCACGTCGAGATCTATCGCCACGTGATTCGGTACAGGCTGTACATTCGGGAGGCAGAAATCAGCTGGTTGAACGATTCCGGGCACTAGAGAAGGAAGCGCCATCACCGGAGATGGAGTACGATCCGCCGCTGGCCCTGGGCATCCCAGTGTTCCCAAAAGAAGGCGATCTGGAACTCTCCTTCCGTCGAGGTCTGGTTTGGGTTCTAGCTCACCAAGCTCGTCAGCCGCCAGCATCCCGTCATCGTCGTCGGGAAACGAGGTCCAAAGGCCCATGTCCCAGATTCAGTCCAAAAGGGAGCTGCTCGAGGAAGTCAAAGACGCGTGCTGTTCCTTCGACGAAGCCATGGACTACATCAAGCGTAGGGACTTCGGTACGTGCTACCAAGACGGACGGCGGGATGCCGCTCTGGGTGCACGGCTTTCCAGGATCGGGGAAGACCGTGTTCTTCGAAACCCTGCTGGGGAGTAGAGTCAATCGGATCACCGATCTTTGGAAGAGCTCTTCGACTTCAAGGAAATTTATCTCTGGTTCGACAACGTCGACTTCTCTGTACTCAGCGTGAATGATTCTTCCTCTGCCATCCGAACATCTGTGACATGGACCGTCAAGGGCTACGTCAGCCGCGGGACAGAATCACCGTTCATATTCTTCAATCCAATTCGACGCTTTTGGAGGCGCTTCCTTGAGACAATGAAATTCAGACTCAAGGAATCTCTAGAACTAGAACTCCCCTTCCCAGCCATGGGAAGGGGAGCTCTAGTCGACGTAGTCCCCTCTTCAGACGCAGTGCATGAATCGCCCACCGGCATCGTCAAATGTTCGCCAGACCTTTTGTATCCTTGCGCATATTCTCTGCCATCAAAATTGCTCATCGAGAGCCAAAATAGCGTTTTGCGCCGGGAATTCGGCGACCGATGAGACCGATCCCGCCTTCTTCCTAGAGATTCGAACAGATGTCAAAAGGAGAGCCCTAACGCTCTCTTGGAGGCCGCGCTCGCTGATGTCTCTGTTTCCTCTGGAGTTCTCCGAACTTCTTGAAAATCCCGACCTCCCACAAAATTCGAGTTGCGATGAAATCCCCCGGGGGCCCACCAGTAAAGACGGATTGCGATGGCGTCATTCACGCAGCAGAGATGATGGATTTCGACGTGATAAGAGAAGAAACACATGGACCCACGTCGGTCCGAAGCTCTGGGGCTCCTCCGATGGTTGAGCTCACTGTCTCCTCAGAACCCTTCCTTCGAATTTCTCGGTTCCCATATCCACCGAGAAAAATCCGATTGTGATAATGACAGAACCCCCTTGGACCTCCCCCAGACGGGTTGTATGGCGATGCTCCACTTCCGTCTCAAAGTCGATAGAACTTTACATTATGTGAACAGAATCCAAGCCGGCGTACAGTGGGGCCAGTTCACATTTTAGGTGGACAAAATTATTATTTTTTCCGCATGGTAGGCTTGCCTCCATCCGAGTAACGCATGATTACAGCATTGATTGCTCATTTTTATCGACGGGAACAACGAAGTCACCGAAACTGCAGCCTTGAATTTGAGACTATCAAATGATTCGCTGTAACTCTCTAAGGCGACCGAGCTTTCGGGATCATCGGCAGGCTCGATTGGTACGGCCTCTGCTTCCCCTCCGGCTGAGTTTAGCAAAGCGTCTACCTGTGGATCGATTTCTTTGGGCCCCTTTTTTGGAGGGGGTCGAGAACTCACTATCAAGGTATCCGAGGGAATGAGCAACATGCTCAAGAGATCAAAATTAGTATTTTCTCGGGAATTTTTTCCGGTATTTCCCAATCTATAGCGCCGATTCCGTGCTTCTTGAGCTTCCTCTGTCATGATGCCGACCGGGAGGGGAGAGTATTTGATAACCTGTGGTCTAGGATTTTATGAACAGTCGGCGTCGCTGGGTGCCACGGATACAGCTCTTGCAGAACTTGCTTCGTCTCTTGCACGAATATCTCGATATTCATCTATACATGATATATATATATGATATTCACAATATTCAGTCCGAATTTCGAACAGAGAGTCCGGAGAATAACACGGAATCTGGTTATCAAGCTCTTGTCGAGGTCAGTAATCGCGGAAGTTACACTTGAATTCTCGTGGGGGCCTCATCCTCTTTTAACAGAAAACAGGTTGAATCAGAACCTACGTATTCAAAATTTCTGATGTCAAGTTCGATAAATTTTTCTACGAAAACCAGGAAAAACCGGGCGACATTTTTTTTCCCCCGAGATAGTTCAAGGTCTGATATGTTCCCCAATGAGTCAATATCCGGGCGGGGAAGGGTGGGAAGTACTTTACAAGAGTCACCAATTTTGGTGAATTTCGGGGCTTGGAGATGTTCTATGATTCCTCGGCTCGGCAGGTGCGGAACCAGCTGACGGGATCTAAACCGGTCCCAAACGCGAGATCCGGACCGGAGGCGTTTTGGGAGAATTCATTGAGCCGCCTCGGAAGTGTATGAAAGTATTAATTTCCGAGCTTTATTAATGGGAGGAAGAAATATCATATAGCACCTCCAATTAAATCTTGACTTTGACAGCTCCGCGCTCTCTCGTAATAGCGGTATATACTGAAAGACCCATGGCTTTCTGGCTTCCAGACTTCGGTGAATATTTTGGGCTATCACTGGAGACCGAAATCCGGAAAATAATTTTGTCCACCTAAAATGTGATTTGGCGCCACTGTGCGGCGTCGGAACAGAGCGGGTATCGGACCCTGGAAATACTATGGACAAAATGTCCTGGTCAACCTAGTATAAAGGGATGGGCAGGGTGGGAAAGAGAGGGAGCACTACCCAATAGATTCCGAATCTCACCCCGAATTCAGTCCGGTGGTCCGTGACGTCCGCAGGAAAATCCCAATGGGGAATTAAGATGGTAGCGCTCCCGACGGGCTACCGCTTAAGATTGCGATAGAGATTACACCTGCGGACGCCACTGCCGGTGGTTCTCGGGGTTGAACTCCGATGCGGTCCGATTCCAGGAGTTGGAAGTCCTCCGGACCTTAGGAGAGCTCTCGCAGACAAAAATTCGCTTCCTCTCAGATATGTTTCCCTCTCCTGATGATGGAACACTCCTGGAAGAGTCGAGTTCCTTGGGGGCGAATCCACGAATTTCGTCCTTCACAATCAATTATGTGAGTCAGGCTGCTTTGTAGAACGAGGTCTTGACCTCCTAACACCTCGTATGCAGCATATACATATATCGATCTAGATTTCACGCACCGGAAACTACCGTCTCCTGCGAATCTGACTAAGGAATCGTTGCTGCCCTCTCTCTCAGCGGAGTGCGGTCGGAACGGCTGGGCTGCCCTCACGGGCCTAGTTTGGATGTCAAGACTCTCGGCCTTCCTCAAGACGACTCAGGTGCTATGCGCAGAGTAGCGCGAGCATTGGGTACCCGAAATTCACGGAGAGGATTTCGCATGTGTACAACTTGTGAGTCACGAGAGAATCTCGTCGAATCAGTAAAAGAAGCCATTCCTCTGCGATGAGCCCTCGCCAGAATTCTCGAGGAATTCCAACCTAGGTCGCGCGCGTTCACCGAGGACCCCACGTGCGCGGGGAACGGAAATTATCGTGTGCGGTTGTCACAAGAAGCACGGCGAACCGGAATTAAGCCCCCATCACTCTATTACGCTGAGTAGTCGCAGAAGAGCGACCGACCGCGCGAAACTATCGATGCTGGAAGTTTCTGGAGACGAAGTTTTGTTTCATAGTGAAATTTTTACAGGAAGCTTGCGTCGCCGTCCCAATGGCTAAAGTAGGAGTCGAAGGCAAAGGAGGAGGTGAGTCGATCGATTACGATGAGTGGCATCGATGGCATTCGACCATTACGTAAGTGAACAAACTGAGAAATAAGACCAACAGAACATTCGAGGGAGTACTCGCGAAACCGCTAGAGGAATGTCGAGGGGACAGAGTTCTCTACGGGCTCATCGATCTCAATGCATCTCCACGATGAATGATTCATGCACGTGTATAAGTAAGCCCGATGTTTGATGCGTCTGTTCGAACCGAGGCAGATCTGCAAAGATGTTATCGTGCTCGCAGTCGTGCGCCCCGGCTTCGATCGCATCTCATGAAACCGTCCCCCTGGTCCCTGAAAGGCAATTGGGGGAATCGTCCTCCTCATCTCTCAAAGTCCTGCCTTTGTTGGAGGGCTGAATGCGGGAACGTATCGAGAGAAACTCGGCCACCCTAGTGGAAATGATCCAACCTACATACCGCATTGTTTTGCATGCGCGTTCTCTGACGCACCGGGCTCCAACGGCGCCCTTCGACGCTTCCGGTCCGCAACGGGCTCCAGCGGGTCACGCCATACGTTTCGTGTTGAATGACGGGATCACAGAGCTCTCACCATCTCGCAGCTCGACTCCTAGATATCAAGATTCCGGCTTGATCGGAAACCCCCGAATCCGAAATGCCCAACTGTGCGTTTGTGACTTGGTTATTATTATATTGATATCCAAGCTGACACGCGACCACCGGCTTTCATGGTCAGCGTCAGCCACGCTCGTCCCATCGCCAAAGAAGCGGCTTCTATCGAGAAACTCCTCATCGTGGGTTCGCTTGGTGGAATTCCTCCTCTGAAAACTTTTGAAAGATGTCAAGGCTCAGGGGAGCGGCGCATTGACTCGGCCTGAGCTTTAGAGCGTATATTCCGGTGGAAGAGGCCGGGGGAGCGTGCCACGTTCAATCACACCCGCCTGAGGTTCGTGGCGGAGCGAATTCACTTGGCCCACATCCGGGAATTGTAAAGGTCGTAAGAAGAACTTTTTGGAACGTCCGTTCTAGCGGATCTTCGCGGAACTCCTAGCCAGCACCCCGCAACGGTGAATCTCGAACACATTGAGTGACCGCAGCGAGACTTCGCTATCCTGGAATATAGCTGTTCTAGCGAGGGAGTTCGTTTTTCGCAGATCGCCCGATGGTTCAGGGATGTGGAGCAGTTGTGAAATATGCACTTTTTGTGGCAAATCTTATCATCATGCTAGGTGGCGTCGTGGTTTTCGGCGTTGGCGTGTGGACCCTGGCTGACAGGTAAGACTCGACTTCTAGGGAGCCGCCGCAACAATACGTTGATGGAACAGATTGGCCACGAATTCATTATAATTGCAGAAGCTTCATGGAGCGATTATTAGGATCGAATCTATACGTGTCGTCAGCGGCCATCATGATATGTACAGGGCTCGTGACGACATTTGTAGCTTTCTTGGGATGTTTCGGTGCGTGGAAGGAACTGCGCTGCTTACTCATGGCGGTGAGAAACATTCTCCGCTCTCTCGAGGGTCTCTAGGCATTCCATATGAAGATGACGATTCCTTGGCCGGATCGATGATTCGCATCACGGGATCAAAGTGTTCCCCATGAAATTCCAGTTTTTCGCGATTCTTCTCGTCCTCTTCGTCGTCATGATGGTCGGAGGCATTCTAGGATACGTCTTCAGGAACGAGGTTGGATTCTGATCAACGGCCAGTTCGGGGGTAGACCTCTCCGACGATCCGACGCTTATTTTTCCCGTCATTACAGGTTGACGATCGGATGTACGCCGAGATGATCTCCTCCATACCCAAGTACAAGAATGATTCGGCGGTGACTCGAACATGGGACAGCGTACAGCAGGCGGTGAGCTGGGAAGTTGCACGAGAGGTCTCGCTCCTACGATTCCCTCCGTCGATACCTGATTTAAGGGGAGGGTGGAAAAAGAGACATTCCTCTTCCTTCATCGATCATTTATTTTCTCGATTCCAGTTCCGGTGTTGCGGCATGCAAGTTCGGGGGCCAACTCCATCAACTGATCCCCCGATGCGAATTTGGTTCCAAAACCCCAACTTCAATCTCTTCGTCCAGGTTAGTCCCACGAGCGGTGATCGGAACCATGGGGGAACGGTGCGGACGAATTCGGTAGAAACTTTATTACCCGTGATTCTGGTCCATCCCTTCCACTTCGAATTCAGGTCCCGGATTCCTGTTGCATGAGAAAGGAATGGCTCGGTGGATGCCGCGAACGACCAACAGAACGCGACACCTACATGGATGTAAGCGAGCGGAGCCGAGAGACTATAGTCCATGGAAGGAGCGACTGCGAACGACTCTCAATTATTTATTTCTTGTTTTGTAGAATTGTTATACCAAAATGCGAGACTTCATGAAGAGCCATGCCGAGGTCATCGGCGGTCTTGGGATAGGGATCGCATGCGTCCTGCTCATCGGCATGATTTTGTCGTGCATACTCATCGTCATTATTTTCTGATCGACTCGAAGACCTGCCGCCATGAATAAGGTGATCGAGCGCGTCGAAGAAATTCTTTCGGTACGAAAACTGTGCGTGGTGTTCCCACCGGGGCCCAGAAGCATCGTATAAAGTGAGCTCTACCTCTCTAGCGGGAGAATTCTGTCGGAGCACCCGCGCCCTGGGAATAATATCTCGGATGGAATTGCGTTGTTCCTGGTCTGGGGTCTATCATCTAATTCATGCACTCGGTTGCGGCTCACCGGAAATGAGAGAACAAATCCTTCACATCCCTCACAAATGAAAAGTCGCAATGGGTGACTGGCGATTCATGTTTTCAGTCGCAGCCCAATGCTACTTCATTACAGGCGACTCAAATCTCGATCTGTAACGGACTACACAGTCTACTCAGGTCCCCGGCCCTTCTCATGATGGAAGCTTCGTCGAATGAGTGCACGGTGTGATATGGTGTCAAGTAGTCTGTTGCGTCCATCCTAGAAGTTGTGGGCGAATTTTTTCTATCGTACGAGCGGTCGATGTATCCCGGTCCAGAAACCTTTGAAGAGTATGAGTCTTTGTATCGCTCGGTCCGCAGAAAATCGAGCGGGAGTCTCAGCGTCGCGGTAGTTATGGGGTCGGATGAGGTGGATGTTATGGGGCCGCAGTCCGGACTATGGAGGACAAAAATAAAAGAGTCTACAACCATCTGACACCTTATCGAGACCTTTATTCCTATCAGAACTCAAGCCGGAATATTATATACTCATTAACCGATGGATATCTCGAGCATGAAGGGTCATACCTGGGATTATTCACTCATAGGCCAGTCGTCCAGCTGATGCAAAAACGGCGTCGGGCTCTGTTTTCGCTGTTTTCGGGTGAGCTGACGAGCGTCACGAACCCTTGTATTTCTATACTCGCATCAAGGTCTCGGGGATCGAAAATCGAAGCTTCCGTGGGCGGGGGAGCTCAATCACAATTCAAGGCCTTCTCCGCGATCTTGCTCTTGATACACACGTCAAATGAGCACATTACCGCTGCGGAACGCCGGCGGAACGCTACACGCTTGAAAGATACCCCTCCCATCACCCTCGTCTGTAGACATCGAAGTGTCCCGGACAATTTGACTCATGCATCGAGGATTCTTGTTCTCTCATTTTTTTCAGGGAGAAAAATCGTCCTACGCTAAGGTTGGGCTACCGTGCGGGAGATACCGTCCAAAATGGGATACTTGTTCTAGCGATTAAGTTCCAAAGGTGGCCGAGATTAACGAGAGCCTCCAAGGTCGATCAAGCGCCATGCTCATCATCTTCCTGCCGCTGCGCATCCAGATTTAATCAATCGTCGCATGAAGCGTGGGGCATGGCCGCATCATGTGGATCTTGCTCCAGCCACGATTAATCGCAAGTCATGCGGTCTTCGTGTGCTCCGGGAGGGCGAAAGACACGGCGGACGTGCATTCGTTCAGGAGGGCATTCCGTGTACCTCAGGAGAAAGTTGAGTAACCTGGTGCTCCAAAAGAAGCCTGAGGTGAGAGAGGAATCGTCAATTATTCGAAGTTCCGGATGCAACACCTTCCATCGGAATCTAACTTCATCTACCCAGTTACCCGAATATATCCCGAAGCTCGAGGACTACCTTAATTCAGGAGTTTTGCCGGCTCGGAAAACAATCTGTATTCGGGACCGTCAAGGTGAATTCGTCGAGACTCGCAAAGTACTCCAGACCAACTCTCCGCCACGACGCCGACGTCCCCATGAGCCTAGGAATCCCTCGCTTCCGGAGGATCCTCCCCGAGAAAAGGAGCGAAACGCCGGGAAAACAATCACAAACAACGTTGCGGGTATCCTATTCATTCGGATTCGAGCGCCGCGCCGTTCACGAAGGCTCACTAAGCCGCTCCCGGCAGGCAGATTCCATGCGACGAACCGACCATTCAGCTTTCTGCGGGGAAAGTTCCGAGGTCAGCCCTTGAAAAGGCAATCGGAACAGGGTCGGCCATCGAGTGAATTTTTTTCTTCGACCCTCACTCCTTCCCTCCTTCGTGAGAGGAAGTCCCAACAGCGAGGAAGAAAGAGCAGACTATAGAGCAGACCCCGGCAAACGACGATACGAATGGTTTCCGGATACGTGTATCTTGTACTCAAGAAGCTTTCTAGAGGCACCTCCTGCGGGCATTGAAAAATTGAGGAGCTCCTCCGAGGGGCGTTCCACAATCTGGATGGAAACGTGCTGTACCGATCGCACATGACGAGATGGACAATGATGATATAACTCGTCCTTCTCCTCCGACATAACTCGACTGAGCTCGAAACAAGTCCGGTGTTTCCCAATCCAATTGAATAGATTGTGGGGCAAGCTCCAATCGGAGGAATGCGGAGGTTGGTTAATTCGAGGGGCCTGCCCTCCAGCTGGGTAAAATACGGCATCCGGATCGAGGGATTCGGAGGATACCCACTGGAAATCTCATCCGGGCTCCGTGTATGAGTCCATTATCGAATCAGGACAAATGGTGATGAATCACCCGAATGTTGGAGTTGACCCCTTGAAGCACAGCGGTCACTCAGGAGAGCAGCCCAGCGGAGTTCTCAGCGGCTTTCCGCTCCATCGACGCGGCTACGGACGAAGCTCCTTCGCGCGGGAACCCAAAAATTGAGCTTCGAGCGATCCTACAGCGGGAGTGGATTTCCTGAGACCGCTTCTGGTCGATCCGTGATGGACTCCCACGTATAGAAATCAGGGCCGGGTATCAACTCCAAGCGAAAAGGCTGACTGATGACTTGGGTCGTCGAGCAGGCGAGTGTGCGATAGCGGGGAAATTCTCGACGATTTACTCACCTCGGCCGGGAGAGTCCCCTTCTGGGTCTTCACGGAGCAGATCTCACTGGTCTTCGAAGACTGGATAACACCGCGCGAGTTGGGAATCGCAGCTCGCGACTCCACAACAGCAAGTGGATGCAGTCGAGACTGGACACATTGCCAAATTTCGGCTCCGAATCATATCATGCAACATAGCGCTCCGTATCTCTTACGTGATGACTTCGGACGCATGAGTTCGCGAGCATCAGGAGAATCCGACCGGACTATCGATAGGTGCATGAATAGCTCAGTTTCAGTGTGTGAATAAGCTGAGTGTCTAGGAGGGAGCTGCACGGTTCTAAACAATTGAAGGGTACTTCTAAAAGTGCTCTCTGCTCCCCGATAACGACTTGGGTTGAGAGCAAGCATGAGACAACTGAATGAGAAAGAAGAATCAAGCATCTCTCGCATCAAAGTGCCTACGGAAAACGCGTGTTTCTCGAGCTTTGACAGCATAGTGGTGCTATTCTCCGCCGATCCGTGATGGAGCAAGACAAGGTGGGTTTCGTCTGATTTCGGATTCTATAAGGATTGCCCGAAAGTGTCAGCTGGATAGATATGCTCAGCCGGTCGCCGCAGCTGCCAGCCCTGAGCCAGACCATGGATCGTCCTCACGTTCTCCAAAATACTCTGCTCGGAATCGAATTCCCGCGCAGATGATTGATTCGGAAGGGCATCCGGCTTCAATGGGCTCATCGATCTGCCGTGGGGCATTCACAGGGAAGCTCCCCCGGAAAAGCTGACGGGTCCGACTAGAAGCTATTGCGACAAATCTGCCCTCACGAATATTTCCCGAGATCGCATGTCCGCATGAGGAGCCCACCGAAGGATGGAGGATTATTGGTCCGGAGCTTCGTCCTCTTGGGGTCGTCATGCAGAGTCTCTTCGGCCAAGCTGCTCATCCGTTATTTCGTCGGGAAATCAGAAGGCAGTCACGTCGTTGACTCCTGCGACTCCGTTTCATGAGGAATTCGCGGAAGAGTGCGAGAGCACGCGGAAATGGAGGATTAAATGGGCATTGCCTGCCACGGGGAGTCTCCTCACCGTCCTTCGGGGAATCTCCTCATCGTTCCTCTGAAGAATTATTCTGTTATTTGGTATGACCCAACCTCGACGTTAAGGCATCAAGGAGAAATGGCGTACTCTATTATGGTAATGCGCAGTTCTCTGGGCGAAGGTACGGAGGATCGCCCCATGATTGGAAAACAATAGTTGCCAGGCTGCCTTGCTGTGGCGCTTGCGAGTCGGAGTCCTCGTGAACTTGACCCTTTTCTCCTGCCGTCGCGCCGATCGTGAAAGTCCGAGGATATCCTTTGCTTTCACTTGCTATTCTCGGGTTACTAACGACCACCTGGCGCCAAAGAACAGAATCTCAAGGCTACCAATTATCTGTTTTGTCGTAACAGTTTCGAAAGCGACCGACCCGATGCTGACCAAACAGGAAGACGGGAAGAATGTACTACCTTCACTAGATGATTCGACCGGACAATTCCCTCAGTCAGACGTGTTCGAGATCAGAAGGATCCGAGAATCCATGAGTCATGTGATGAGCGCGGCTGGGATCGTGCTCCCAACGATTAAACAACCGCTCTGACATATTCATTTCCACAGCCTCGTTTAACATTAACCTTCGCGATAACTGTGGTCGCCGTCGCGGCAGGATCAGCTTTCTGCCATGGCTGGAACATCGGGGTCACGAATCCCACGGAGCAGGTACGAGAGAAATGCCATCGAATCCCGGAACGCGTATCCTTCCCGTTCACTAAAGAATTCACATTTTGACCCGATCTCTTTGGACTGGGCCAGGCCTCATGATGCGTTTCGACGCGTCATCACTTCGGCCCTGGACCAATTCGTCCGGAATCGGATGCCGCCAAAACCGTATGATTCTTTCGGGGGCAATTACTATACGAACCTCTCTGTTTTGTAGGCCTTGCGGAGATTTTTACGGGACAGCATCACCAATCAGAGCGGAGCGTCGCCCACGGAAGCCATGCTCACCAGCACTTTCGCACTCATGGTTCGTGAAATATCATTTTTTATTCAGAATACTTTTTTTTTACCTCGCGGTTCCCCGCGGAGGTGCGCGGATCGGACCCATGGAGCCTCTCGGAGGATATACCTACCTATATGACTCGTCACAGGAGCATTCGGTCATTTTACGAAATTCCGAAGCGGCTCCTCCAGTCCTCATCCTCATGGCCACCCACCCTGGGTTCAACGAAAAAAAGTCTCGGATTCTGATTAGTAATCTCGATTATTCCTCCTCGAGCGTTACGAGTGTCCGATTCAGATTGAAATCCACTGCACAGGAATACTATCGCGTCTGCGGGTTTCCTAAGACTTCACTCGGCTCGGAAATTCCGTCCGGAGGCTCGCTTCTATTTTGCTCACTTCAGATCAATGATTCAGGTGTCCGCTCTCTGTGTCGGTGGTTTCTTTGGAGCGTTGTTGGTGTCTCCTATAACGCACACTCTGGGTCGGAAAGGCGGCCTGATGTTCGATGCAACCTTCGTGATCTTGGGAAGCTTCTGCATGGGGTTCGCGAGATTCTTTGGGAGATACGAGCTCCTGATAATCGGCCGAGCACTGGTCGGAGTTCACGCCGGTGAGGTCCAGTCTTGTTCTTTGGTAATTCATCGCAGCGGTAGGATCCGTGCTGCTGAAAAATACCTTCTTACCCGATTCTACCGCCCGCAGGAATCGCGGGAGGAATCGCGCCTCTCTACTTTGCCGAACTCTCGCCGCACCAGTGGCGAGGAGCCATTGGCAGCGTGTATCAGCTCACCGTGGTGATCTCGATTTTATTATCGCAAGTAAGCGGAGAGCTCCGGAGTCTGAGGGGCTTCAGAATTCCCGGCTACCAAAACTAAAGATCCCCGAATCGATACGATATGTTCTTTCCCTTTCGGCAGGTGTTTGGTTTACCCCGAGTCTTGGGCGGCGATGACTGCTGGCCGCTCCTCTTGGGTGAGTGAATGAACTGCGCCCTCAAGCATCACGATTCCGGAGCGAGCTGGAGACAGAAAGAATGAAATAATCTTTCCAGGTGGGATAATCCTCAGTCCTACTCTGATGTTTATCCTCCTGCCATGGTGCCCGGAGTCCCCGAAGTTTCTCCTGAGCAAAGGATCGGAGCAGGATGCTCGAAACGGTTAGAACTCCCAGCCCCCCTCGCACATTCGATCGCGATTGCCCGGCACTGGACTCCGGGAACGCTGGAACGTGTTGGGATGGACGGCAGACTTCTAACCCCTTCATTTTTGACAGCCCTGATCCGCCTCCGGGGGACGAAGAATATCGAAATAGAACTCAAGCAGATTAGTTCGGAAGCAGAAGTCACCCGTGGACTACCTCCGGTACGCTGACTCTGCTTTATGAATGTCTACCGGCCTAACGGAAATATTCGAAAAGATATGCAGATAGAAATCGGGGCTTCAACGCTAGATCATTCTCCTCCCAGGTGGGCCTATCGAACTTACTGCGTGAGCCAGTTCTGAAGAAAGCATTCACAATCTCCGTGATGGTTGTGATCGGCCAGCAACTTTCCGGCATCAATGCCGTGAGTTTTTCACTTCACGACGCAACGCCCAGAGGCGGCCGAGCACTTCGGGCTCCTTCTGGAGCTTCCCGAATCTTATAACGAACATCAATAAAGAATCTCCACTGCAGGTGATGTTCTACTCGACGAGCATTTTCGGCGCCGCAGGATTCAATCAGGATGCTGCGACTGCCGCAACTGTCGGCATGTCCGTGGTGAATGTCCTGTGCACGGCATACTCGATGGTGATCATTGAAAAAGCGGGACGGAGAACACTTCTGTTGACGGGCTTCATGGGAATGATGATTTGCACGGTTATTCTCGCACTCTCGCTGGGACTCTTGGTGAGTAGGTGATATAGAATTCACAAGATATCGACGCGCTACTACACAACCTGGGTAGGACGCGGAGAAATTATCGTTATACCCCGGAACGCTCACATAATGATTTCAGGAGCTTCACTCGATGATGTCGTGGACGGCTGTTGGGGGCGTTATGGCCTTCGTGATCATGTTCGCGATCGGGCCAGGCTCCATTCCGTGGTTCCTAGTGACGGAACTGCTCCCTCCTGCGGCCCAGCCCATCGCGAGCAGTCTCTGCGTTGCAACGAATTGGCTGTGCAATGCGGGAATCGGCATGGCATTCCCGATACTGATGGTATAATTCTCCCTACGATTCGCTCTTGAATCAAGCTGAGGCCGATGCCGATGATTTTCGTGACCGAAGACGAAACAGTCCTCGCTAATGCTCGATGTTTGTTCAGGGATTCCTGTCTCACAACTCATTCCTCGTGTTCACCGTTCTCTTGACGGTCTTCTACATCTACATCTACAGAAAACTCCCCGAGACCAAGGGCCGTACCATAGAGGAGATCACCGCTTACTTCTCTGGAGTGGAATTAGTGACAACCAAGCGAAAAGACTTCGCTCTACCGGTATCGATCAGATGCACTACCAACGTTGAAGACAAGTGCGACTGCCGCGGCTTCGTTGTAATTGACGCATGCGACGTCCATCATGTGGAATTGTGAAAAATCTGTGCACTTAAGTGATCGGTCGCGGCAACTCGGGAGACGAACTTTCATTCTGGAGCTATGCTTTCGATCGCTCCCCTAAAAGGCGGAAGTGAGAATGTGTTGCCGACGAATCATCCCGATAAGAAAACTTCGTGACAGAGTGAGAACTGACGGAAACAATGGAGACGATTGACGGCCTCGATCCCAGCGAGGCGCCGGCGCCGCCGCTTCGGGAACCTCCTTGGCGTCATAGGAGATCTTCTCTCACAATATCTTCTTGATCGTTCTTCTCTAGTGGATAATCACGGTTGCAAGAGCCGATTCGCGGTCTCGCAAGACTTATGGCTCGAAATTATGACTTCTCATGATAAGGCCATCTAGGAGGAATTGAGTCGAATTCCTCGTCGATGTTGTTAGCCATACGAATAGGGCGTAGGATCTTGGTAAGTACAGGGGGTGGGAACCTGGAGTCTGAATCGCGGTGTTCGCGAAGCTCTCCCACAACTCCCATTTCGGTTCAACAATTAATCTCAAATTTTGTGGCATGGTTTTTCCCGGAGCGGGCGAGCCCCGGACCGGTAACGGAGCCGACGCTAGGTCTGAGCCTCCCAACCGGAGATCTCGTTATATATCTCGTCAATATCCTGCTCATCGTCGCGGCGGCAGAGCTCTCCATGAAGCTTCTGTGGTCATTGCTAGTCCCAAGGCGGGCTCTGCGTTGCTCTGCACCGGCGCGGCGTGGTCAAAAGCGGCCACGGGGAAAGCAAGGGAAATTCAGGGTTGTCATTCACGATCAACGATGTGCCCCAAGAAGAGGCAAAATCATTCACAACCTTCAGCCCGTCCGCCGACTCCGGAGTCCGAGCAGAGTTCCCCATGAAAAACATTTGTACGCCCCTGTATAAGAAAGATAGAAATCTTACCAACTGTGGTGGAGCGGAGCCGACAATCAAAAGCGTGGGACCGCGGGGGAATGCGCTCGGGGTTAGAACTCGATCAAATGGTCAATAAGATGAGGAGATACAATAAAAGCGTTGAACGATGATTGTGAGAGAGAAATTGTTGTAACTTCTAGAACTGATCATGATCTGACTCCCGGCTCGAAACAAGAGGCATTCGCGGGGGCGGCGAAATTCGCTGGCTGGCTGGCTGCACGCCGTTGCCTCCCCAGGCCAGGCAGCTATGCCTGTCATCTGATGTATTCGTCAGTTGTTGACCGAGTCTCATTCCCGGACTCATAGTCCCCCACTGACAGCAACGAAGTAATTGGTTTGATGAAGCGGGCATCTACGAGGCGAGCGTTCCGCATTACGACGTCCGATCTCGACGGATGGATCGAACAGCTGTTCGAACGGAAACCGCTCGCGGAAAAAGAAGTCAAGCTCTTGACGAAAAAAGCAAAAGAGATCCTCAGCAAAGAGAACAACATCCATGCAGTCGCTTGTCCAATTACGGTTTGCGGCGACATTCACGGCCAGTTCTATGATTTGCTCGAGCTCTTCCGAATCGGTGGCAGGCCTCCAGATTGCTCGTATCTCTTCATGGGCGACTACGTGGACCGAGGACTCTACTCGGTAGAAGTAGTATCGTTGCTCGTTGCGTTAAAAGTACGCTACAAGGACAAGGTCCACCTGCTTCGCGGGAACCACGAGAGCCGGCAGGTGACTCAGATCTACGGGTTCTACGATGAGTGCCTCCGGAAGTACGGGAATGCGAACGTTTGGAAAGCCTTCACGGATCTATTCGACTTCTTGCCGGTCACCGGCTTGATCAGCAACACCATTATCTGCATGCATGGCGGACTCTCGCCCAGCTTGAAGACGCTGGACGACATAAGAACACTGACTAGGAATATTGAAGTGCCGACCGAGGGCCCGGTATGCGATCTCCTATGGTCGGACCCCGAGGATAGACCGGGCTTCAGTGTGTCCCCACGGGGAGCAGGTTACATTTTCGGTCAAGACGAAAGCGAGAAATTCTGTCGGAGAAACAACCTCACTTTGATTTCCAGAGCCCATCAGCTGGTCATGGAGGGCTTCAAACCCACACATAACGATAAGGTTTGTTGAATGAGATCAAATTAAATAATGATGCGTCGGGGAATAGCTCAGAGGATGAGCTCCAAAGATGCGAGTTTTAGTTCCTTCGGGACCAGAATCGTTACGGTGGTCAATCGATGCGTATACACAGCTTCATTTCTCTCGTGTACGTGTCCATCAGGTAGTCACTGTGTTCTCTGCGCCCAACTACACGTACAGATCCGGTAACCTCGCCGCTATCATGGAAGTGGACGATAACCTGCACCGGGGCTGCATCCAATTCGAGGCTGCTCCCCGGAAAGCTGACCAGCTCCCACCAAAGATGAAGATGGATTATTTCACCTAGCGGCGTTGTTCTTCTCGGACATAAAACTGGAATTTTGTGCGTTGAGTTTATAGCATATTACAATGTAACAAGTAAAGACTCTTCGTTATCTCCAATTGTTTATTCTACTGAATCGTGCTCTCTTATATACCCTCACACCCCCGGACTTTTGATCCAATCCCTCCTGGGATTGAGCGTAAAATGGGAATCATTCGGACACTTCTTGGAAAACTTCAATCCAACGGGGCAAAGATTCTCGAAGGGGGACCCCACCCGGACTGTAGTGTAAGGTCATTCCGTCCTCCGATTTTCTTGACGTCCTACACCAGCACTCAATTTCTACGGTGCCAGACTGAGCGACACGCAGCTTTGAGCAGTGCCTCGTCTCGGACAGAGACGGGATCCTTGAATTATGAGGTTCTCCAACAACTCTCCATGAATGAATCTGCGTGACTCACAGATCTGTAGGCATAGATCCGGACGGTGACCCAGCCATTCTCCAAATCGACTGCGCCAGTAAAGACTCTTCGTTATCTCCAATTGTTTATTCTACTGAATCGTGCTCTCTTATATACCCTCACATAACAATGAATAAATCCGAAGCTTGTGACGAGTTTTGCGAGAGCGGGAGCGCATTCGCAGAGGATTATACGCATGGCATATGGAAAGGATACGATATCTGATTACCTGCTAGTCTCTGGGTGCAAACAGACTGTCCCGCAGAGGTCGCGGGCCAGAGAGGGGGAGACTACGGACAAAACAGTCTTATGGACCCGATTCTCCACTGGAAACGAAGTCGATGAGACTAACTTGAAACTAACTCGAACGCGGAACGAGATTCTTTAACGAAACATTTATTCACCATTCAAGGGGTACGATACACCATCCATCACTACTGGGCGGTCCTATTTGAGCTCAATGACATCTTCCGTCCAAGATTCCTATTCTCAACCCATGCAATCGAAGCAAAATCGGGAAAATTACACTATGTGTCGCTCTTTCAGAGGCTCGCCCATAAGGATTCTTTCGAAGCCAAATCGTGTCAGATCGATGGTCTGGTATCCTCCTTCAAGGATCAGCTCACACACCGCTCTTCCGGCTCCCGGTGCCATTTGGAGACCATGGCCCGAGAAACCCGTACAAAAACTGATATTCTTGAAATACGGGTGCTTTCCTATGATTGCGTTTTCGTCAAAGTAGTTGTAGTCATAGCATCCACACCAAGAGTGCTTGAGTTTGATGTTCTCGAAGGCAGGAACTCTTTTCGCCAGAGCTGGCCATATGACTTCATAGAACCAGCTTTCGTCGACCGATTCTAGATCGATGTCCTCGCCATTGTCGTCTTCTTTGTTAGGGCTCTTGCCGCAGATGAAATGCCCTCCGAGACCTTCTCTCCGCACATAGGTATTGCTCGGATCGATCAGGAATGGGAAGCCTACGATCGGTGCGTCCGGAGCGTGGAAACTGTAGACGCCGCGCTTGCGCGGTTCGACCGGAGCCGGAACACTGAGTATCTCTTCCCCTTCTCCGCACCCAAGTATCCGGCCGACGTGGCCTGAATCCGCTCCAGCGCACACAACAGCTTCGGAAAACGTCATATCCAAGAGGAAGCCGTTGGGAAGACGAATGATAGCTTCGTTCGTTCTGCGTCGCGTAGAGTATTCGCCCAGGATCTCTTCTACGAAGCGAAAGTCTACCAACTCGCCATGAACGTATGAAATCTGATGTCGAAGGTTCCACTCTTTCAGCCCTTGCAGAAGAGACCACGCATCGAACCAGCCCTCGTTCTGCAGCCCGTAGGACGCGAGTTTTACATCTTCTACGTTCAGGAAGGGGAACTGCTGATTCAACATCTCTTTCGAGTACAAACGAACTCTCGCCCCCATCTGTTTCTGGACTTTGAAGTTCTCTTCCATCTGTTGTGCACCTGAGTCGGTGTTTGCCAAGAACATATAGCCCTCCGGATTGAAGTGTATGTCCGGGGCATCGTCCCCGAGATAATGTTTGTAGTCACTAAGGAACTGGGCACCGAACATCGATAACTGAATGTTTTCCGGCAGTGAAAACTGTTGCCGTATTCCGCCGGCGGAACGAGTCGTCGCACATCTGTGATAGGTGGGGTCCTTTTCCAGAATCACAATGTTGAGTCCTTTCTCCACAAGCTTCATCATCCAGTACGCAATACTGGATCCGATCACACCTCCGCCAATGATGAGAACATCGGTCTCGAGTGGTATGTCGCCTCGCGCCTTGCGGACTTCCGAAGCTACTTTGAGACTTTCGTAATCCGAGCACTTGAGCGACTTGACTTGGTCGGCATACCTCGGTACTTTCGGAATTTTGCGATCATTTGCCAATGTCCGCTTTCCGCCGAGCCCCAGGAGGGGTCCGCGACGAAACGCGCGGACCGAGGCGATCATCACGGAGAACGAATCGCCGGCAGGACGGCCACTGTGTCTCGTCGAATCGTCCGCGGTCAGCTAACTGTTGCACTCCGAAGAAAGGGTCACCGAATCATGATTCGTGTTATCAAGGGCAAAAGGATCTACGTCCTCCCAATCCTTATCTATTCAACTTTGCGGCGGCGCCCATATGATGCAAACATTCAGCATGCGCGAGGAGAAGACAAACGAGCGGACCATCGAGAGCTCGACCATCGAGCACCATCGAGACCGCGTGATCCTCGATGGAAGTATTCCATCAGTCAGACTTAGATTCAAAGACGAATTTCGAATTCAAATCTCTCACTCGGCCAGACGTGCAACACCCAGCGCTGATATGGCACCCACGATCGGGTCCGTCAGATCGCTCGAGGGTTGCGGAAAGAGAAACGACCCCAGAAAAGCCCGAGGGCGCAGACCGTTCCAAACATATACCACCGCTCTTATCGTAGTGGCTCTCCTTTCAATACAACTAATTCTCAACCATTATTCGTCCAGCCCACTCTCCGCGTTCTCGACGCGACACTCGATGCAACGCGAGTTCGTCCCAGAAGAACACCATTGAATCGTGTAGAACGAATATTGCGGGCGCCTCCGGTTCCTCCTTTCTCTCTCTTTCTCTTACGAGGGACTGCTCCGGGAGCAGACGATTCGGACGAGTCCACCAATCAGCGCTGGGACTGCTGTTGTGATGATCTGTGTAGCGACCGCCGCCATTTTTCTCAACCTCAAACACACAGCTTGAGTTGGTGTTGGGTGTCCGTGAAGCCGCGTTGAGAAGAGTTCTGTGCGTTCGTAATTTTCATTGGGCCTCGTGCTTAGTCACGATACGTTATGGGTCGCAAGAAGAAGAAGCCGACCAAACCCTGGTGTTGGTGAGTTAGGCAATCGAGCCGAATGACCTCATCTGGTCTGAGTTTTTGAATGTTGCTATCGTACGACGCGCTCCGCCTTGGCGTAGCTTCGGCAATCAACCTCATCCGTCGCTTGCAGGTACTGCAACAGAGAGTTCGATGACGAGAAAATTCTCATCCAGCACCAGAAGGCTAAACATTTTAAATGTCACGTCTGCCACAAGAAACTCTTCACCGGCCCCGGTTTAGCCATCCATTGCATGCAGGTGAGGACTGCTGAAAATCGCGGATGAGCAGCGGCTCTTCATTTCCGACCGACTCTGAATAATCCCGTCGTCCCAGGTACATAAGGAAACACTCGACCATGTCCCGAACGCCCTCCCAAACCGGAACTCCGTCGACATCGAAATTTATGGCATGGAAGGTATTCCTCCCGACGATCTACGAGAACATCAGGTAAGTACAATCGTTTCCTCTGAGGTTGTTGGCGCGGGACAACCCAACTTTTTGCAGTGGATTCCGCGCTGAGGCAACTGCGGACTTATGGTATTGCACAGTCTCCTTAAAGCGGTCTAGTAAGTTGCACAGAGTACAATTTGAGTCCGATGAGAGACAAACCGGAAGCTGTGCTTGCACTCAGAGACCAAAGCGAAAATTTCTCGTAGTTGATTTCTACGCTCCCTTAGTCTTAATGGAATTCTTGAAGATTCTCGTGCCATTGGAGCTTGCGGCCCTAGGTGTCCTTCGTTCAGGTAGGAGGGTCTTTTTCGTATGTAGAAAATTCCTGATCACTTATTGCGAGTAGACTGGTGCACCATGTATCGAGGGTAAGTCAATCGGTGACTTGGAGAATCTGAATCGATTAAGCTCAGTGGAGTCGATGCTGCTGGCTGAGTGAGATTTCTGAACGAGTCTCCGTTCCGGCATGAAAAGAACTCATTAGCAAACCAGCGGGCCCGACGGTAGACGCTCCTCGTGCTGCGTTCGGATCTTGAGCGCCGACCAGTAGATCTCGAGTTTTTCGGTCTTTCCTCCACGTCAGCGATAAGACCTCTGCGGGCAGAACTGACCTATTTCGATCCTCTTTTCCCCGACCGCGAAATCATATGCTTTAAGGCTTCACTTTCCTCTCTAGAACTGGTGCGAGGTTTGAACTATCTGAGTCGAAGGTCAACCCCGCGTATCCGATTCTCGGAACTCGTAGATTCGATGCTTACCATGCAGGTTTGCGTATTCCATTGCTGTTGTCGTTGTCTTTTTTTATTACTGTGAGTATTATGTGCCGTCAGTACGTATAGTCTGTTGGTGTGTGCACCGAGAACAGCGTCGGACATCTCGTATTCTCAAATTATTCCGAACAGGTGAGTGGACTGTTCCAAAGCGACATCTGCCCCTGCGAGACATTTTCCATGTCGCTACGTAGCGGCTTTTTTGCTATGCAATCGCCGACCTACGATCCGAGCCGGAGGCGTCGGAAGAGTTCTTGATTGTGGGTTCCGAATCCTCGACTCGCGATATACTTGACTGACAGATCCTTGGGACAGTCGTTCCTCCGCTCAATCGGGCTATTCGGCCCATACCCAGAACAGATTTGTTGCCCCATACCTGTTCCCGAGCTAAAAATACGGTTTGCACGACCCGCTCTGACACAAGGTGAGTAGTGGTTCGTGTTGACAGCGATCATCTGACCTCCATTCCTCCTTTCCAGCGAGAGGCAGGCAACTCGAATGGGGCCAAGGAGAGCCCCGCCGCCGAAGCAGCACCGACTCCCGCTATTCCGCCTCCGATGAGTCATGCCCCGATGCCGCAGCATCACCCCCAGCTGGTCGGTATGCCTCCGTTCGGTATGCCCCTCGGCATGTCACCTTACGGGATGCCCCCAGGGTTCCCCATGATGCCGCCCATGCCAGCTGGTGCGATGCCCCCGTTCGGTGCACACATGATGCCCATGCCGCCCAGTGGACGACCACTTTTCCCCGCGGCGCAAAGCCTCCAGCAGCCCGCACCAATGGTTTGTATGACTCGTAAGGTCGTCGAGGTGCAGACCTTGAAGATTCCCTGCTCAACATAATATCGCTGCGAACAGCCGGGAAGTCTTTGACACAATTTTCTTCTACTCTGAGCAGAGCGGCATCCCCGTACCAGGACCCACCCCGGCAGTCGTGTCGGCTCCACCGATGCCCGCCAACCGCAGCATGCACGACGTGGATCCAAAGGTGAGATGAGATTCCCGTGGAGCTCTCGACCAAGCTAGGAAGTATTCCTGGAAGATGCGGGATCTCTGAGCGTTGCTGGAAGTGAATCAACCTTTCCCCACCACCAGGTAACTCTGTCGGCACCTGCAGACATTAAACACTGGTCAAGACCCTCATCAGGTTTAGTGGTTCCCATCGAGGGCACAAAGATTATTCATCCCGAACAAGATATTTCGCTCGAAGAACTCAGAATGAAACTGAGCAGATATCGAAGATGGCTCGTCAAATAGGCCACTGGACGTGACGGCGTTGTGATCGATCTTTGACTGAGAACGAAAGCGAATCCACCTCCCGTGGGAGCGATGTCGTCGGGTCGTCGATGTACCGTCCGTCGCAGCATTCATTCACGACAACGGGATAGGAAAAACATTAGGGATTGTTTCATGGGGGGCTGCTGTAATTTTGGGGAGCCTGAGCCACTTTGATGCAAAATTCTAGTTCACAAATGTTTTTCTGCGAGTTTCCGATAAAAAAAAACGTATTCCTCTATAAAAGTGCTTTGCGCAGAAAGGTAAGATATCTGGCGAAAGTTTGTCTTCCCGCAAGAGTCAGAATAAAGTACCAAGTGTAAATATCGGAGCGAAGCCTGTGCCTTTCCTTTCCTTCATTCCAATGTCAGTCTCGCTCCCAGGCGGTTGAGGGGTGAGCGACGTAATTGGAGTTCTCTCTCTCACTCCGGGCCAGAGAATGGAGAACTTACTTGAGCTCCCGGCGCCGTCTCAATATTGTCGATCAATTAGTATTTTCTCCATCTCGACTAGAGGAGAAATGGTTCTTGAGCGCGGTTTCCCTATCCCGGAGGTTCCGCCTCAGAAATTCAAATAATGAAGGAGCCTTTCGATAGCCCCCGTGAGCATGCTAGGCAGCTAGCGGGGTTTCATCAAGACTGGGAAGCCCGCTCCCCTGAGAGGATTCCCCCTCTCACCTCGAGACGTTGGACCCGACACGCGAACAAGCAGACACATTCGGCACGACTGAGTAGGGCGCAATCGATGATAGCGGTCGTCTGTTGGCCACAGACCGCAAATAGCAGATATCTCACAGATATGGTGACAAATAGTGACCCTCTGGCAATGAGAGCAATTGAGCAATTCCCGACACCGAGATTAGCATTCGCTGGATATGATCCACGATTGGGAAATTCTGCATAGTGTCGGACTCGATGCTAGATATCTCCTCTTTCCTCGAAAATCGACTCCTCCCCCACTGTTTACGGAGAGCGACTGATTAGAAGTATGCAAGCGAGAGGAAAAAGTCAAACAAACAAGCGCGAAGAAGACGCATCCGCTGGAATAGCGCTTCTTGGAAAAATCTCCGAAAGACGAGAAGTCTCCGTGCAAGAGGAATGTCTCCGGAAATCCGGCGCGCGTGATTGGTGCCCGAACAACTCTGGGTTCTAGCTCCCCGATCATCTTTCGGGCATGAGCGCTTGTTGATACACATTTTCCTCTAGAGGTTTTTGGACTACAATGTGGAAGATTCTTCGTAAGGCGATATATCAGTTCGCCGCTTCATTTCGTCCGGTAATCACTACACTCCCCGATACGAACTTGAGCCTCCGCTGCTACTGAGAGAGGACCTTTGTCGGGTCCAGTTTCTTTGGACGGTGGAGTCTTACCATTAGGGCTGCTCGGGTATTATTGCTTTGTCGGAATTCGCTCAACATACCGCACCTCTAATCCGATATCGTAAGTGATCTTCTTTTCAAAGTGTTCGATGTCGACCGGCTCTCGACTCACATTCCTTGTCGCGGTCGACAGTGAGTGCAATTATCGGCTTTCTGAAAAGTATCCACTCTCCGAGTGAAGGGTTCCCATTCCGAAATCACCCCGAGAGAGAACTCGCCCTCCCAAGAAATTAGAGGCGAGCGAATTCTCCCGGGCGACATCCGAATCAGAAACGCGCATTACGTTTCTCTCTGGATCAGTTTCTCGCTCGGAATCCGCTATCACTGGAAAGATGGCTGATAGATCTAGATACGGTGGAGCGTATCTCGGCCGCGTCATCCCGAGATTTCGCGAATGAGATCCAGACTCGATTTGTCATCGACTCTGGCCTGATCACATTCTCTGAACGAGGCTGACAGGTCACATGGCATCCGTCGCGTCCCCAGCCTTGCTGCTCTTTCCGAGGTGGTCTCAGCCCTGCTATCGGGTCGGAATGCTGACCGCGGATTCCAGTTGCGCACTGCGTATTATTGCATGGGGGCTAGAAGCTCCACTTACTGAGTTTTGATTCGAGCGAGCTACTCTGGGAGAGGATGATTCTGAGCCATTCGAGCTCGGTGAGCCCTTGGAGGTATTTCGAAAGCTATGACCACTAATCATTCGAACCTAACTTACTCTCGACTAGGATGTCTTCCCGCCGAAAAGTGCAGTTTGAAGTGAATCAAGGAGATCCCACTCAAGACAGCGGAATACCAATGCTTCTGAGGTAAGCGATTTATCTACGATTTCGACCTTGATGCTTGGCGCTCTGCTGGGATTAGTCCCACGAGCCGATAGACAGATAGGAAGGAAGGAACTCTTCCATTGCTCCATAATAGCACATGGAGAGATGCGGGTCTTCTAGAAGGAAAGGTGCCGCAAACTCTGCATAGAAGATCAAGAGCACTCGTCTTCTCTCGAAAATCTCGCCACGATCAACTCCATCTTTAGCTCCACGTCCACGGTTATTCTCGAGCCAAGCTTAATGAGCGACAAAATAGCTGCGGAGTATAATACTAGGCAGGGACATAGTCGGAGGCTAGACAACTAACGGCAGAAGATTTTCCAACTGCAATTTCGTCGTGGAGCCGGTCGCACCGAACAAGGGAAGAAATTCGGGACGAACGATTCGCGGTGAAATAGTCTTTACATGCTACAGTGAATTCCGCTTATCTTCGCCCCGAAACTTGATGCGCGGGCTCCCTTGCCCGGAATTGAGCGGAAACCTATGATTTTAATTTCTGACGAAACTGGGCCACTCAGGGAAGGGCTCGCTTTCTAATCGAGCATCCAGAACAGATGAAGCCAACGCGCTCTGGAGCGATTTCTATGCCACCAGAAAGTGGAGAAAAATCATTGTCAGAGCGATAGCGCGTTCAAGTTGTGCGGGCATGGCGACGATTCGGAGAGATTCTGTCGTGGTTGCCGAGAGATGATTGATTAAGAGCATGCCCAGAGGCTTGTCGTGTATTCAAATCAAAACGCATCGACTCTCAGTCGAAGGGAACGGGACAGGAAAGGAAATTCTGCTCGTCAGATCGCAAGTTCCGTCCATGTTCGACTCCCATCCCTCGAAGTGCAGCATCTCTACAGTGGGAACCTTCGCATAAATCAATTCCCCGGATGTCGGAGCTCCGCTGATCCTGGCCGACGTGGCATAGGATCGCCTGCGACGACAATCACAATATTCAGAGAACGGTGAAGATTCAGAACCTGAACTGGCATGCTACCAGCTGCAGCTGATATGTTGTCATTCGACGTCACGCTAATCCGGGTCGGCGAAGCAGTCGTGGATTTTGAGAAATCGAGCCGGCCGTATCCCCCTACATATAAAAGGCGACATGTCCGTCATGAAAAATTATCACCAATATGAACATTATTCTCACAATACCATCTTCCGAAAAATACAAGCCGAAAAATCGTGCTCGGCAATGCCCTTGCGATCGCGATTCCTTCCGAATTCACTTTTCAAGGGATCTACATTCCCAACCGCGGTGCGCGTTCGGCGCTTTAATGCACTGCGCAGTTGCGCCAGGCGCCGCCGTCGCGCGTCGTCGCCGTTGCCGCCGTTCACTCCGTGTTCGCTCACGCCCGGAGATGTCCTACGCTGAGTAAAAAAACAGTGGCAGGTAGTATCTTCGACACTACCGTTCGGCGTGAAAACGTCAGATTCATCCGGTGTTGTTCTGCTTAAAATGACTGAATAATGTTTTGAACTTGAAATGATTCATTCCTTATCTTGATAAAAATGGGTGAAGGTTGGATTGAGATTCCATTCTGGCTTTGGGGTCCGTCTTGACTCAACTAGACGGGTTCAAAACTTCTTATAATATATGGAAGTCGCGGTGAAATTCGCACACAGGATCCAATTTTGGCAAGTCTGTGGGCTTCGGTGGGTATGTATATCCATGGGTTCTACTGAGATTGGGTACTTTCTTATTCCTACTTTTGTAGCAATTGTGGCAGAGCCTGGAACTGACGGCATCTTCGTCCGGGGAATATGGTGTCAAATAGTGTGCCATCTGATGAGAGGTGATCGGCTTCAAATCCCGTACAAACCAGATGCGATCGCGAACATCGCATGCGACGGAGCTGAGTAGTGGCACGTTCCCATAATTGAATGTATGTGAAACATCGTGTCAGCTCAACTTGACCGTCATAAGAATCGTCTCGACTTGGCTCGTCGATCGATGTTGAAATGTCATTTGATTCGTTCACCTCCCTGCGGGCATCGTCAGCTCCAGTACCACAAGACACGACCGATGAAGTCTCTCGGCGACGCTTCCGATATTCAGCTGATCTCTCAGCAGAAGTTCTCTCTCTTTTCACTGCCCTGCCCGCTGAAGCTTCCGCTCGCCGTATGTGCTGCCTTCTACTGGCGGTTTTGGCCGCATCATTGAAGATTCACAATCTCAAATGATCAGTGCCGATGACTATTGAAGAATGTGATGAACTCGACGGATTCCTCCCATAATAACGAAGAACTCTTGAGTAGCACAAGGTTTATATCCCGACCAAACACTCAATTTTGGAATTATGATCTAGAATCTAGATGTTCGGGATTGAGCGTTCAATTGACACCACTCATGATTCCCTATTATTCCCAGTCATCTCGAGCTCAACTCCTCTCACGAATTTCAAGATGATTCGCGCCATCTGTTCGAATTTCGCCTCCGCTGCGGAGAGGTGTACTCCCATCGACCAGAGATTCTCGTGGCATGGCGACAGCTTGAAGGGGAAACGATAGTAACGCTGACTAAAGGAGAGAAAGGAACAAATCGGCCCCCATTGCGAAATGTCTCATGTTTCGCATGAATATATCCTTCCTGTGACCCCCTGTTTCGCAAACGCAACGCGACCTAGAAGACTGAAAACCCCCTCGAAATCAAACAGTGATTTCGAATCAGAATAAGCTTCAGACATCTCACACAACCTTCAGACATCTCACACAACCTTCATTCATGTCACTCTGGAGGCCTCCCAGATTTGATACCAAAATAGAATGGTACTTCATGCCGTGAATTCGCGTTCACATGAAACCAGCTACAAAGTTCTACGTTCCCAGGTGTCCGAGATCTAAGGCACAGAAAAGTTACAACATTTGTGACGCAAAGGACGAAGTACCCTCGATCTGTATGGTCGATGAAATTAAAGACGTTTTCACGTCAAAAACTCCAGGCTCTTCGTACCGTCAATCCTTTTTAGTCGATGAATTTTCCTGCAATAATTCTCATTCAAGTCGAGATTGATAGAAAATATATCAATATTTTTTCGGGAAACGTAGGACGAGCCTTTGTGCTGTGTGCTTCGCTATCAGTTCCATCAGGAAGCTTCGAGAAACGTAAGACACGTTTGGTTCCTGTGCG